CGTTTGAGTTTTTATTTACCTTACAATATTGTCTATTTTGCATGATTGGTAGTTACTTTCATAAAAACTGATTTAAAAACTTATCCAGTGTCTATATATGCTGCTTCTAGATAGTGCAAATTACTTTTGGAGCCATGATCTCAAAGGGTTACTAAATTTGCTCCAGCAATTTTTTTGTGTAGAGCCTTCCATATCTGTACTCAGAATGACCATTTGTGCACATAAATTTGACATTTGATTTGCAAAATTTTGCAAACATTTCAGGAATAAATTCAAATAATGTTTTTTGAAAACATGGCCTTAAAAATTTACAGTTAAAAAAAAGACCATCTGCACTCCACATTCTTGAAATTTTATCATCTTGATTCTGATCCGACTTTCAATTAAATCAATCAAAATTTTAACATTGAATTTACTGGGAACAGGATTGAGTATCTTATATAAAACTTTGAAAAAATATTAAAAATGGTTCACTCAAACTGCATTTTCTTTCTGTTCTCTGAAGAAGCTCAGTGCTATCTATGACAGTAAATCCAACTATTGTAAAGACTAATAAAATATACCTTTTATACAAGCTCTATCTAGAAATCTCAGAACCTAAAACACACTAACAATCAACTGATAATGAGGTCAGAAATACAAGTAAATTTACTTCTAATGAAGTCTGGAGACACAGTAATCAAAGTGTTAAAAATTCATTTCATGCATATCTCATTTGCCTCGTAGCTGATATTTATCACATAATACTGTGAGAAAGTAGAGGTCTAAGATGCTCCAGATAAATGGCTCAATTAATTGTACAGAGGTAGCCCTCTTTGAGCTGAACCAGAGCTGTGAGCTCTTTATTAAAAGCACTATTCTGTAGCCCATAACCTTGTTCCTTGACTCCTCTCTAGTTTCCAATTTAAACAAGTCCCCATGCGGCCTGCTCTAAAGGGCTTTGTCTCCCTGTCATTGTTAAGAGAGCCGAGGCATCCTGGAAGTGTGAAATCAGACCTCATGAGCTGAACGGTTCCCCAGGGAACGCTGGACTGAGCAGAAGGTCAAAGTCATGGGCTGGACCATCTGAAAGCGTCTGATCACCAGTCTGTGTCACAGCAAGTGGGGTGGGGGGAGCTAGGAGACTGGAATTGAACACATCTTAATTAAAGCCCACAGACAGCAAAACAAACTGTTTTCTAGGCAGGCTGTCAAATGGAGCTTAGATTTAGCACTACTAATGAATCTGAGTTGCTAACTCTTATTTCTTAAGATAATAAGAGTCTCAGAGAAGTTGATAAAAATGGGGGCATATCTTTTCCCTCTGTTTTCTTCCTTAAATAATCTGCCATCGATAATAAGGCAGCTTTTTCAAAAGAAAAGCACGAACATGTCTACCTTAATAAAGGAGTAGCAAACACCATCTTATTAAACCAGTAGGTTTTTCACTCCAGAGGGCTAAGACTTCTATATATGTAACCTTGTTGCAGAAAGGAGAAACCATTTACGTGACTATTGCTTTAACTGATATTGTATTTCATTTTAAAAAGTGCCTATTGCTTTCTGAAATATATTTGGGTTAGGTACACATAAAATATATTAATTTGAGAGATCAACTTACATGATGATTCTATTATGCATTACCTTTCACTATATTGCCAGTATATACCTTCATTTAAAAGGGCTTAATTGTATATACCACAAATGGCTTGCTTCTCCGAGGAGACTTTGATCCTTTCTGGGGAATCACAAGCTAGCTGAAGGTAAAATGGCGGAAAGGGATGAGAACTTTTTCTTTTTTTGTTGAGGACTTGGGGGAGAAAAATCAATCGCAACCCTGCAATAACCCACCCCCAAGCGCTGAATAAGTAATGTTTAGTAGGGGATTTAAATGAAAATGTCTAAGGCAGAAAAGAAAACCAGAGTATTTTGTTCTATTCCATTTGGTCAAATTAGAATTCCAAAAATCTATTTTGTAATATTTTTCCGGTGAATACCCTTTGCTCCACCACATTTCCCAACTTAATAAAAGTTGACATTGGTGAAGGCCCTAATATTTTTGGCCTCAGGCAGGAATTCCATGACCACATTTGAGATACACTGCTCTGTATTTTTGTCTGGTGCAAGGAAAGTATATCTTACAGTAGGTCAGTTACTTTAGAGACCAATCCTACAACATGCTCAGCACTCTCCATTCCCATTGAAATCAAGCTGGAGTGCTGAGCACTCAACACCTCAGAGGATTATGCCCTTTTCGTGTGTTCCTATAAATGGGTTCACCGAATAGTATTTTTCAATACGTCTCAAGCCTAGTTATAGCACACTTAACAGTGACCAATTTTCAAAACTGTAGCACCCAGTTTCTCAGGCTGTGAAAGCCTGCCCACAACTTGACTGAAATTTCAATCCACTCTCGTGTCTTGTTCAATGCATGTGTATGTGTGGGAGTTGTAAACGGAGGCCTTAACCACCCAGTTAATCTCTTTTTTTAATCTGTATTAACCTTAATGATTTGAAGTGCACTGTCCAACACTAGGCTATTGAGCCTAAAGAAAAAACTACCCTCTACTATCAACAGTTTATTAGGGGCTTAACTGAAGTGACCTACTGTAGTAGTATTCAGCTGAACAAGGCTATGGGCTTTTTGTGGAAAGGAAAAGAATTGAGGGTTTCATTAAAAAGTAATTTGTGCTTTTTACTCCCTCATTCAATGGGACTCTCAATTGCTCTTTATTCACACAGAGTTAATACAGTATTACAGTGCTTCTCAATGAATGTATAGTAACAAAAGAAAAATTTTACATTTTGAAAGGAAAAAATTCTTTCTTACTGTAGTAAGATTGATGACTACTTAAAAGATTACAGAAATCTTTCCCACTCTGTGCTTTTGTTTAATGATGGAATATTATGATTTTTTTTAACTATTCAGCCTAAACTAATGAATTTTGACTTATTACTTTATATTAAAAAATACCTGAAAGTGAAATGGGATATTTTCAGCCTACAGAAAGGGAGCAAATCAAACAGGTACTGTACAGGAATGTCTGTGTGTTGCTGCTTAGACTCAGGAGAAAAATCCATAAGCTTAAATCAGAAAAAAAGGATGTATTATTATTATTTGTATTATTATAGATAAAAATGAAGATTAGCATCCTGATCCATATTCACATGAGCAATTCTTAATCACACATGTAGCGTTGTTGATGTCAGCTGGTCTACTCATATCAGTAAGGATTACTCACTTAAGTAAGAGCTGCAGGATGAGGTCCTAAATGCTATTTACAAGACACTTTACTGGAGGTGTACGTGGGATGAACATACGATGAATAATTAAAGACCAAACAATCAGCAAATAAATCATCAGTTATTTCTAAACATACATTATTCAAATTCAAAATTTAATCTGAAGGTAGATCAGTCACATCATTCTAAAGATCATTACACAAAACAGGTGTAAATTACAGCATTTCTTAATAAACCTTTTGGTTGCCTTTCAAACTGATGGCATTTTTTTTCCTCAAAAGGTGCAATAATTTGTATAAAATTTGAAATACATAGCTCTTTACAAACACCTATATTATATAAATAATTGTTCTGGCTATTCCTGATGGACAAACTATTTAGGACACATAGGAATGGGGAGGATATCAAATATTCCTTCCACTTGCTAACAGACAGTCATTCTGAATGTACAGAGTCTGAAAATAGTTTTGGTAGTTATGCACATCTCTAATTGAATCAAATGTATTTCCAAAAACTTCTGCAACTGACACAAATGACATGTTGATCAGGAAAAATCCAAGACTGAACAAGGTCAGAGACTGAATTATCCCATTCCCCCGAATAACTTAATCTCCCTCTCTGTTCAGACCACATTGGATTATAAGGTCAAAGCAGAGTGAGGAACCTTTAGAAGTGTTTCTCCAATCTCTGCCCAAGAAAGAATCTGTTATTTTATGTTCCACCAACTGGATGACCTGTTTCAGCAATAAAATTTTTGTCCTGTTAGATCGGCTAAGAGAACAAACTATTGATATTCATGTTAATTTACACAGAACTATTAGGAAAGGAATTTTCTACCATATATCTATATTTATACCTGTGAAAGAATTTGTACTTCAAGTTCCCAAGTGGCAGCTAAGCCAACTAGGTTAATGTAGTCAGCATATTCATGAATTCTTACAGCTGCAATGGCTACTCTCTGAAAGAGGACAATTTCATCTTGTTCCATTCAGCATGTGCAGTGTGTAGGTGGGTGTACTTTTAAGAGATAACATATTTCTGAAGAAAAATGGTTACTATGACTGCAATGATTATTCTTAAATAATTTCCAAAAAGCAGAAGGCAAAATTATCCAATCAGCTAATTTTTAGTACAAGGACAAAACAAGAAGATTTAAAAACAGAATGATTTGAAAAATGTATTTTCTTCTGACTGTTTTGGAAGTGGTTATTCAAGGTCCAGTCTTTTACCTATAATGGGTCATTTACATTTGTAGTGATGATTGCAGGACACTATTTCTTTGGAAGATTTTTTTTTTATTTTAAACCACATACAGTGTGGCAAGCTCTTTAGCAAGTACCAAAAGATTATTTTGTTGACAGCTTTAGAGAAATATTTGAGACTATCATATTTTGAACTGTTTTGATTCTGAGAATTTTGTATATTTGTATCCGTTAAAGAATAAAGTCCTGCACTTGTAGCTCACGAAATGTCTTTGCAGGACCTCTGATGGAGAAAAAGGTGTATTTCTTCTTTCCCATAGATACTCTATATAGGATTCTATTCACTGGTATTACAATGGCTCATAGCCCAGCATATAAAAAGTTTTGGTTTTTTTGTCTGGGGATTTTTTGGGAATAGAAGATGGGATTATTTGCAAACTGGGCAATGAAATTCTGACACACTTATCTTCCTTAAACTTCACACCTTGTGGAAACTGATCGATTTTTAAAAAATGACCAAATCCAAGATTCTTTAATTATACTATCTACTATCACAGAAACTGAATCAGTCCTTGCCTGTGACATCAGCTGCCATCAATGCTTCTGCTCTGATGACCTTCACCTGTAGAAATCCTACATCCTTCATGTTGTGAAACATCCTCATTGTGCTCTAAACAATAATAATAAAAAGTTATTACGGGCTGTGTGGAGAGGAAAGAGGTTAATGATTTTCCCTCCCTGATCCAAAATTCATTAAATACAATGCTATGTTTCAAATGATTGCCTTCTTAATTTTTAATTTCAATAGGAACTTACTGTTATCAGTCTCTGTTTCAATACATTCCATTACCCAATCATTATAAGATAAACATGGAAGAGCAGGTCAGGATAAAATATATTAATAAGAAATTAATGCTACCGTATTACTATCCTAATAGTAGATATTTGAGCTATTAACTACAAAGTTTTAAATTTTGATATCCTATTTAGAATAAAATATAAAAAAATAAAAATGATCCAAAATACAATAGTTCCTCTTGCACGTGAGAATCACACTTATGTTTTCCTTGTTATAGCTTGCGCAAGACAGTTTCATGTGTGATTAAGGGCCAATTTTTTTTCCCCTTGAGGAATATATGCAACTACCACTGTGCTTAACAGGAGTGACACATGCAAAGAGAGAACAAGAGACTGAAAGATGGCTCTCAGTACATTACAAGGAACTCTCATAATAAATCTCTTTTCCCCCACGACCAAGGTTTATGTATAATTTAGACACATTTTATAAAAAGAAGAAAAAAAGCTGGAATAGAGTATTGGCTTTTATTCATGATAAGCAATCTTTTTGGAATTCTCTGTTAGACAACTATTTAGAAACAGTATTTTGTTGTGTTTTTAAATAACAAAGTAACAGCATGGTATTACAGTAACTGAGTGCAATAGGCAAGAAACATTTTTTATAAAGCCTGAATGCAGTGGCCGGTTCCACAGATGCAGTTTTAACCCCACAGTTAATTGAGAGGACCACTGCTAGCATTTATATGTTATACATCTAAATCAGGATCTCCAAAACTGGGAAACTAAAATTAGGGTTCCAAGTCCAAATTTAGACACCTAGGGATGTGGTCTGATTTTCAGAAGTGTTTGAAAATCTTGGCCGTAAAGGTTATCATTTGTGTACAAAGTCACTCATCAACACAACACTTGGAGCAATTTTTTTTTTTTTAAGGCCAACAGTTTTATGCCCATGGCCTTATTCTATTATTGTGACACAGATAAAGAATGTGAAACCTCTTACTTATGTCTGAATATTTATAACAATGTTTTGGTTTGTAGGTCACGCAAGCATCAACAGAGACACTGAGTCAAGGATTTTGAATTCTATTACATGGGTAAAACTGACTATTATGGAAAATTAGAGTTTGATGTGAGTAAACTAACATTGCTATTCTACATGTTAAAGGTGCTGTTTGAATATAATCTTAAATGTTATGCTGCTTGAAAAATATATTATATTTATGCATACCAAACATAGCCATTAAAATGTTAGGAGTATAAAATGCATCCTTGTCTTTTATTAATAAGAAAATTTTGACAGTCAAATCATACTCTGACATTAATTTTATAAGTCCCATCTGACTGTTTATTGTTTACAGTGAAGGTTTGACCTTGGTATACTGAGCTGAGGAAATGCAGTTATGTGTAATCTCATATGCTTTACTTTTTTCATATATGAAGAGTGTTTATCACAAGGATTATGTTTTAATCTTTTTAAACATTTGTTTATCTTCAGAAATCTGTTTAAAATAGACAGATGACAAACTTGAATCAAAATATACTTCACCTTCTATTTATGTGCTTGCAAATTGAGGGTGGTGGAGGTGGTGTTACAGATAGTGATGTTATAATTCAAATGTTTGTTGGCACAGTCTGTCATTTATTACAATAACGATCAAGTTTTGGAAGCTTCTTATCAGGGCTGGTACCATAACACAAATTATTTCCCTCTTCTAATTCAGTGTGGAAAGGGAAGAGATTTACAAAAAGGTTTCTGCACCATCTTTTTTTGAAGCTACTTAACCCAAGTTTCATGGCGGCTAAACAAACAAAAAACAATAAACCTTCCCAAACCCCCCAAAACACATACAACATTGGTAAGCTCATTCTGCAAAAAGGAAACATTGCTATATTTCACTCTCAATACCTGATACCCATCTTCAGACTCTGCAGAATAATTATTGTTTGAAATTTTAGTTTCAGCAAGTCAGCTGATTTAGAGTCATTTATTGCATATTCTGACAGACTGGGCCCCTGACATATGGTACAATATTATTGTAGGGACGCTATGAAATATGAATTATTTTAATACATTACTTTAAATATGTAACTTTAAGTAATGGTTTACCAAAAGATATTCTATCTTCTTATTTATGATTATTGTTGAAGGCCTCAAAACCTGGATGGTTTCTGAAGCCTGAAATTTCCATAGCAGAGGAATCTATGATTTGCTGTGAATCCTTTCAGCCCTCAATAGATGGGAAAAGATTGAAATGCTCTGGAGATGAGTCCTCTTTATTTTTTTAATGAAAGGCTGTATAATATATTTTCTGTATGGCTGCAGCAGCTGTCAGGGAGAGCATCTCAGTTCAGCTCTATTATGGGAGAAGCAATACCCCATCCTATGGCATCGAGATACACTGAGGGGCCAGTACTGATTGACAGCTTGTCACCGTGACGTCTTATTCCATCTCTGTTATGGAGAAAATTAATGTCACACCACCAGCCTTATGACTCGCTGTCATCTTAGAACTGCTCACCTTTTATCAATGCTCTAAATAACATTTCAAGCCCATCGTCTCGCGGTGGACAATCCGGTCAAGGGACATTAAATCGGATGACTGTGAAATGTCATAATAAAAATGGAATGCTAACAACTTCTTCTCTAAACTAGCTCCTCTGGTTTTTAAACTGTGACAAGGGGGACCAGGGGTTCAGCACACCCGTTCTGAAAAGGTCATACAATCTCTCTTGCTCTGTACCCATTACTGAGCTCCTCCCCCGAACCCAAAAGGAATTAATCTTCTCAGACAATTGTGGTAAAATAACGGTTCAAACAGTAATGTCTGTTTAATTTGTAGGGCTCTGATGTTCAGCTACAAATGGTTAAATGACAGTAATAGAGTCATTTTCCAAGGCTACTTGATCTGATGCCAGGGTCAGCTCATGGACTGCTTTTGGCCACAAGAATGGGTGCAAAATACATTTCAGATGGCAACTAGATTCTTTTAGAAAGGAAAAAATAAAAAACCCTAAAATAAAGACACCAAATGATATAGTGTATCTCACTAATTGCATAGTACAGGTTTATTACATCTCTGTCCTTTAAGGCAGACACAAACACTGAAGATAAGCAGACAGCTAAGGAAAGAAAATTTGAATTCTGTAAATACTGTATTGTAAGTCTTTGTCCTCTATTTCTGCTGCTATTTATGGGTCACTTTAGTGAACAAAGTATTGCAATTTCTCAGCAGGCATTCCAATGTTAAAATCTGGAACACATGTAATTGTAAACCTTATTTTTCTACCACATATCAAATGAAATACATCCTTCAAACAATGCTTATTTGTTTTCTCAAGCTTCATAAGCACACGATTGTGCATATGGAAAACATATTTACATTTTGAAAAATGAAGATTTGTATATAAGAACATGTCAGAATAAGAAATCATTTGAGCATTCTTTTACCACATAAATAATGCTATGTGTTTAATTTATGAAGCAAAAAGGGAATTTAAGAAAGCTATGTAAAAATATGAAGCAATAATATTTTTCTATACTGCTGCTAAACTATGAAAACTATTAGTATCAGTAAACTTGTACCATACCACCACAATAATCCACGAAAATATGGTATTTTTACACTTGATATCAAAATGTATGTAACTATAAAAATTAATCTATCAGAATGCATTATATTTATAAAGATCTATTCTGACAACAGACTCTGTATTGTTGGATACCAAAATCTGAAATAATTCTCATAATTGTAATTATTTTTCAGAGATGGTGCACAATACCTTAGCTCTTAGCTGGGTTAGAAAATATAATGTTTAGCCTTGCTAAGTCACCTCTATTAAACTGTGTTTATGATAACACTATTGGTGTATGAGTTGTACAAGCATTAGCAGACAGCTGATTCAGTGGAGATAGCCAGAATAAATTTGCTGAAGCGCACATCCTGCTAATCTGTTTGAAGAATATTGTACAGCATTAGTACTAGCACTTCATGTTATCTGCACAGCCTGATAAGGTACATCTTTATTAAATTCAGTTATTGAAAGGATGTCAGTCAGGGAATAGGAATATTTTAAAATCTAAAAAAAAAAAAAAAATTAAGCAGCTCTTTGTTAGTCAGAGCTTAGTTTAATGGCTGAGTGTCTAGAGAAGCCTTCTAAACACCTGGCAGCATTGTACAATAAAAGCTTTGTAATTTTAAGTGGAAATAGCTTTTTTTTTTTTTTTAATTCTTCATATGTAGAAAGACAGACAGTTACTTTTAGTGATTTAGGTATTAATAAGTGCTGGAGTAAGAGCTCCCCTCTCTGTTGCTTTGATAAAACTACACAGATTCTGCACCATGTGAGGATGCTGGGAAATAAAATAATTTGTTTCAGAATATTCTGAAATGGAAAGATGGTTTAATATCGTTATTTTAATGACACAAACCACTGCTCCAAACTCTAACACTTAGTCAAAAAATAAGAAGTCATCTTGCTTTCAAGTATGCTGTATAACAACTGCAAAACCTTTGAAAAGGATATGGGTGCTGAAATGAATAGTTGCTGGTTGTAAAGATTCTCTGAAATACTGTAAAACTGCTAAATAACATCTTAAATTATACTGCACTTGGAAACAAAAATAATCAAAATTACATAAAGTAGTTAAATTAACTATTTAAATGACATGTGGTCAAATACAGTAGCTGAATATTCATGTACACAACATTTATAGAAAGGTAAATTTTAGGGCTCTGATGATGTTATCTAGATATTTAAGTCAATTACTACTAGTACTAATTATTAGCTTAAATCAGCACCATTGATTACATGGTAGATCTGTTCAGAAATTTTTTCTCATAGTAGTTAGTTAATTATTTGCAACATTATGTTAAAAAGGATAAGAGATAAGTGTTACATACATATCTCTTTAGTATTTCCTCTCGCTCTTTCTGGTCCTCCAAGGAATTGACAGAGAGGTCAGAGATACTGACTGCAGCTGATGCTGTCAGGGTGACCAGCAGTACCAACCATCCTTCTCCTTCCTCCAGCTGCAACTCCAGCTTGTGAGTTTGTTCTCTACTCAGGACTGACAGGTCAACCTGACACCTAAAAACAAACGTTTTGAATCAGTGAGTGGCTTTCTTCACAAGATCAAACAAGAGCCATATGGGCGGACCTGCACTTCACTATGCAAAAAATAAATAAGTGGAAATTCCTTCCCAGTCTGTGGAAGGATTTATCTTCAGTTTCAGCCATATCTCTTGCCTATTTTTAGCTTCAACTCATTATATTGCAGAAGCACTGTACATTTATTTTAAATATATACACTAGAGAGGGGTCAGAAAGAAAATCTACCACCAAATTAGGGTGCTAGAAATCCAGATTCAGATCCAAATTGTGAAGCTTTAGTCAGTCTCATACGTACAAATAAAATAAAAGAATTAAGTGTGCCTTTTTAAATCTTTGAACACTAAAACTAATACCAGTCGTGCTTTTTTTAAAAAAATTCTTCATTAAAGGATTGACTATGACAGCAGATAACATGGCTGGACATGGGAGTAAGGGGAAGGAGGCATCCCTCCAATGACTGCATTAAACCTCTTATGCTGGTTCTGGGTACAAGAGACAGAGCAGGAGCTGCACACACTATACTTCCCACTGTGAGCAAGTGGACAGGAGAAGCCTCTACATGAGCCAGCCAACAATGTCTGGGCACAACTGAAATATGGTTCATCCTTAAAAGCCGGAGAGAAACAGGGAAGGAGTTGTGCACCACTACTCACACAGGGCCGCGCCTAAATGCTTAATCAAGCCTTAAAGGAGAATAATACAGTCAATAAATATTCTACATATATATTCTAGGCCTCTTGTAATTAAAACTGTCTGGTATTTTTAATATACACCGCTACCTCAATATAACACGAATTCAGATATAACATGGTAAAGCAGTGCTCCGGGGGGGCGGGGCTGCGCACTCCGGTGGAACAAAGCAAGTTCAATATAACGCGGTTTCACCTATAACACAGTAAGATTTTTTGGCTCCCAAGGACAGCGTTATATCGAGGTAAAGGTGTATTAGTGTATTTTCATATATTTAATCTTTCCTAGAATGTAGTTGTGAATTTCATATTATGTTCATTCTGAAAACTTATAGAACTGCCACATTACAATGAACATCAACCATTAAAAGTATTACTTCAACTATTTATATCATAACTTTTTTTCTTAAAGTTATGGCAATAAATTAACAATCCATGAAAATAAAATCCAGATAAAATAAATGGATACATTCTACTTATAGTTTTGCCATTTTATAATGGAGTTTTAACAGCAATTATTTAATCTGATAGGTCCATGTTCTATCTGGCACTCTGATTAAGCTAAACATCTCACAAATTCTTTTCATAAAAAGGCGAACTGATTTTGAAGAGAAAGATAATGTGGTGACCACAGGGCCAATAAACTGAGAGAAAGGTGGCAGACATGAATAAATAGGCATTTAAAGACAGGAAATAGCCAATTATGAGAATAAATGTGGCCCCATAAAATGGGCACTCTGCTATCATGGACAGATTAAATTTGTTACAAGGATATTTCCCCCCTCCCTCCCATTTACTGTATATTGTTTAGCTGTTAAAATTCAACCTCTCCAAAGTTGATATACTAGTTAGATTCAATTTATTATCTTACAATGAAAAATTTTTAAACCGAGTAAAAGAGCTTTCGGAGCTTGGCATTTATCTTTCATTTTGGATTTTTGTATGAAGACTAGCAAGCAGTGGAAGGAAGTGAGAGAAATAGGAATATGGAAAAGATTAAAACTACCCTGGTCAGTATAAATGCTATACATCTTCCTGTGCTATAAAGTTACAATTTTGGCTGCAATAAAGAACAAATCCTTCTTTACTATAATGAATATTGGTAATTAAGTACGCAGAGATCTAATATAACATCAAATGATCATTACTTTACAATTAAAGGTAACAGGTTTATTGTGATTTGGATTGCTTCTAGTATTAAAATCTGGTATTATATATTCCAGTGTAGTTATTTTGCACCCCCAACACTCCTCCTCCAAAATAAGCAGCATACACCCTAAAGTATCCTTAAAAATGTCTCCAGTGATCAACACAGCAGTGTTGTCATGGTCAGTATTACTATAAACATGGTATTTAATTTGAATAGTTTAAATTCTGCCAACAGGGTCAGTAAGAGAGAGTCACTAGGACTTAATGATATCAGTAATCCAACTGTAATCCAAAATAGACTAGTCATTTTAGAGTCTTAGCCAGAAAAAAAAAAGGAGAAATTGATGAGTCTTGGTATACACACACATACAGATCTATTCATCCACTAGTCTGTCTGTGTTATAAATGCAAATAAAGAACCTTTGTGGAATGTTAATGTTGAAATATCAATTCCAAAAGTTATATTCTTCTCCTCCAACATTAACATGCCATTCCACATATCAATTGCTATTTTTGGTATATGTTAAAAGGGACACCATCAACCTGAACATCAAAACTCTATTTAAAATGGCTGTATTCACAATTCTACAGTTACACACAACATCTAATATTACTGTAACTAAGAGAAGTCAACTGGAAAACATTTCTCTACTTCACCTGGTTTATTCTACACATTCAACAGCAGTGCATAAACAGTCAATGTTTTGTTGATAGCCAGTTGCACTTGATGCATCATAGATTATCACCATCACTCTGGGCAAAATGTATATGCACACTCCTTCCCAGAACCTATAAGGGGGTGCTTTCCAGTAACATAGCAGCAGAGCTACTGCTCTTTCTGAGTTCTGGGGCCCAGAGTACGTCTCTCCTTTTGACGCTCCTAGGACCCCTTGCATAAAGCAACAGCAGCAAGGGGTGCGCATCAGAAGAATCCTCTTTCCTCTCAGGAATCACACAAAGGGCAAGGGATTGTTTGTTACCTGGGGGCTGGAGCACAGTGATGATCCATGGGAGCTTTTTCTTTCTTTCTACAGCTAGTCAGAAATAGGGGACTTTTTCTGATGAAAATTTCAATTTTGGGGGCAAAAAATGAAAACTGAAATATAGTGGCCAAAAATGAAATATTTTGTTTTGAAAATGCCATCATGGTGCCTTATGGGAGTTGTAGTTTGGGTGCCTCATTCTTCCATTCTTTTCTATTGGTTACGTTCACTAAGCAAACTACATTTCTCATCATGCACTATGGTCTCTCCTCTTTCTGAGGCCAGGCAGTACATTATGGGAGATGATGTCTGTCTGGAAAGCCCAGCCCACAGAGGAGAATAGGGAAATGAGGAAACCAAACTACAACTCCGATGAGGCACTGTAGGGGCATATTCTATTGAAATAGTTTGGATTTTGTCTGAAATATTTCAGTTTACATGCATTAGTTTTTTCAATAAAAAATATTTCACAGAAATTAGACACTTTATGGAAAAAAATGTTTAATCACAAATCACATTTTACATTAAAAACATTTTGAATGAAAATTTTCAACCACGCTACTACTTTTCCTCACCAAATCCTTGCATGGGAGCAGGGATGAACAAAAGCCTGAGAGAGGGGAGGAGGAGGTGGGGTTCTTCGTTCCTTAGAATGCCACTGCTGGTTCCAGTGAGGCGTTTAGAAGCTGGAAGATCTTACTTAAGTGCTAATGCTATTGCTGAAATATCCTTTATAAACATCAGTAGGGAAGCTATAAAAACCCTTATAAATTTGTAAAGAATTTAATAAAAACAAATTAATGATATGCTATTTAATCTATCTCAAAGAATTCAAGTTGACAGCACTCTTTAATAAATAATATTACCTTAAAATTCTTATTTAAAAGGAAAACAGACAGAGAAAATACTATCCATATAGAATCATAGAAATGTAGGGCTAAAAGGGACTTTGAGAAGCTACTGAGTCCAGCTCCCTGTGCTGAGGCAGGATCAAGTAAACCTAGACCATCCCTGACAGATGTTTGTCCAACCTGTTCTTAAACCTCCAGTGCTAGGGATTCCACAACTTCCCCTGGCAGCCTAATCCAGAGTTTAACTATCCTTATATTTAGGAAAACGTTCTCATATCTCCCATATCTCTAAATCTCCCCTCTTACAGATTAAGCCTATTACTTCTTATCCAGCCTTCAGTGGACAATGAGAACAATTGATCACAGTCCTCTAAACATATTTGAAGACCTACCAGGTCCCACCTCAAGACTTCTTTCCTCAAAACTAAACATGTCTGTAACAATCTTGGGGTTCATTAAATAACAAACCAGTGAATGAGAAAGGAAAATAACTTTAATAAAACAAACTGGAGAGTTTCTGTAGTGAGTTGCTACACACAGCCACGTGGTGTTCCCAACCTGTCTCCAGGGCACATTTCCAAATTCCCACACTCACAATACTGTGCCTTATGAGGGAACATCTGCAAATCACAATCTTTCATAAACATATCTCTACATCTTCCCTCTTAAAGAAAAATGAATATAACATAGCTGTTTATATACATATGTGTATGTGTGTTTATTTTATATATATATAAATAAATAAATAAAAACAGCTAACAACACATACATTACATTCTCAACCCATCTAGTACATTTCCATAAACCCAATGGGTCAACTACCTAGAGAGGAGAGGTTACCAGAACATCACTCTTGAGTGAGTCTTTACCACTCACTTTCTTCAAATATCCCTTTCTCCAGGCAGGTTAGCAAGTCTCTATGAGTCTTTCAAGATGTTCAATCTCCCACTCTGATCTTCTCAGTATCAGTCTTTCATTAGAGTCTGAGTTGTTCTCTTGTTCCATTACAGTTTCTCCTGTGTGTGTTGATGATAAAAGATCAGTCAGATGGGAAATGCCAGAGTCCACCTCAGTTGTCAATGTGTTGGAACTTTCTGGAATTACTCATACATCCCTTCGATTACATGGACATGTCTCCCCCTGGTCTGTCTGGACTACACAAGACCTTGGATGCAGCTGTTCTTTAATAGTACCTATTTGGCCCCAAATATTAGAGGTGTGTTAAGAGATGTGAGATCACGGGCCCTTTGTCAAAATAATATTTCTGATTTTCTTTAATCTTCCATATGGGTGCATTGTTATGA